CTGTTAGGATTTTACTGCGGTTTACCTCATATTATTAACTCTATGGTTTCACCAAAAGAGCATTGAAATTACCCCATACTTGGTCAAATTTTCTGTGGGTGGAATTTTTGGATAATTCAAGCTTCGCCCCCTCCACGTTTTCCTTAATCGTACCCATTAAATTGGAACAAAAATCGATATGAAAAATTGTTCAGGGTTCGCAAGTATTTTTAAAAACACGTGATTCCATTTTTTGTACACCTGACTCTTATGGTTTGTTTGGATTTGCATTATTCTCGGAGTATTCATTGTTGTTTCTAACATACATAAAACCTACAAAACAAAATGTACAGCGTGACTTACAATGGAGAGGTGTCAGGTGGTTATCGCCAATGTGGACTGGACTAATTTTAAATTGTTCAGGCCCAGAAATAAGCCCACCCGTATTTTTTCGTTTTCCTGAATGGGCATATTTACGCCCGTGGTGGAATTTTCAAAAAAAATTTCAGCCAAAATCCTGATTTTTAAAAACGCTGTAACTTTTCGAATTTTAGCCCGATTTCAAAAATTGAATACAATTTGTGTTCAGAATAGGAAACGCCACCGAGTCCATGTGACAAGCTTGAGCCATTATTGGTTCGTACAGAATGTGATGGGGCTGGTTATCGCGATCCTTTACGCGGGAGGGAGGTTGCTCTATCTGAAATTGTACGGTAAAATTTCCGATGTGGGATTCGTACTGGCGATATTCATGGCAACTAGTGTTTCTCACGGGTTCGGGTCCTTACTTCGGGTTTCGGGTTCGGGTTCGGGTTCGGGTTCTGCTTCGGATACGAAACTTAAGAACCCGAAACTTTCGGGTTCGGGTTCGGGTCCGAAAAATGTCATGTCAAAATTTCGGGTTCGGGTCGGGTTCGGGTACGGATTAAGAACCTGAAACCCGAATCAAACTTTTTTGGATCGATATCACAAAAAGATACTAGAAAAATTGTTGAACTACATGTTCTTCAGCGGTTGCAATACTGAAGTAAGTAATTCCAATTTCTAGTTGTCTTAAATTCGTTTAATTTCAATGGTTTCCAAAAAGGTAAACGATTTACAAGAGCCTGATTCAATTAGTGTTACGGTGCGAACTATAAAAGAAATCGAATTTTTATCCTAATTTTGCTATGCAATTACCTGAATCATACCTAATGATATAAGTAATAATATTGGAAACGTCAAACTGGAAACAATTATCCAATTTTGGACTGATTTTCAAATTTCTAAAGGTCTCGGAAAGCCATTCTGGGGCAGTTTTTGAAATATTATAAATATTGTTGATTTTTAAGCTTTTAAATAATTTTTAAGTACAAATTCAGCCCATGCCTTAAAATTAAAAATATTTTCGGGTTCGGGTTTCGGATTTGAACCGCCAGTTCGGGTTCGGGTTCGGGTCCCTGCAAACGGGTACGGGTTCTTCGGGTTCGGGTTGGCCTCGGGTTTCGGATCAGTGGTACCGGGTTCGGGTTCGGGTTTCGGATTTGCAAGAACCCGACCCGTGAGAAACACTAATGGCAACAATATTTGATTCGCTCGGGATCACGATGATGCTCCTGGATCCGTACCACCTCGCCGCAGTGATCAACGCCACGCTAAAGTATTACACGGATTTCTGCAGTAAGAGGAAAATTTTTGAATTTTATAGAACATGGGGCAAATTATTGGAATAAGGAATTTATAGCTCTCGTCCGTTAGTATTGGTCATCCAATCCGATCCGAGCTTTTATTATAACACGGATCCGATCGGAAATCGGATTGGATCTGTTAATAGTAGGATAACAAAGTCTGACGGTTCGGATAGACCAACGCTGCCTTCTATTTCAGATCGAACGACCAAATTACAGAAGTATTTAGCATCGTATTCCTCAGTTTTTATTGACAACACCAAAAATTCAAATTTGGGCGGGCAAGAGTTTAGTCTAAACCTTTGACTGACTTTACCACGTGTCTTGTTTTCCAGAAAATTGGAGATTACCGCAGAAACGGGACGTCTTAATGATGAAGCTTCTCTCTAATACGATCGCACTTTTCACCTTTATGAATTTCTTTTGCCCGGTTTGGGTGCTCCTGCATTATTTGATATTTCCCACCAACGCGGCCTACCCGTGCTCCTTCATGTGGCTGTTTTGTCGCTGGGAGCTGTATCTTCTAAGCGGCGGGAGCTACTTTTGGCTCCTCATCTCAATCTTTTCTAATATCACGACCGTTTCGATATTCACCTTGGTGATTTATATCTTTGTGATATGTACCATCTTATCTAAGGAGTTTTTTGCGCCATCAGTGAGGAAGACGAGGTGAGGATTTGCGCTGTTCAAATAACTTCAAAACGGACGCAAAGTTGGGAATTCAATGTTTTTCATGGGCGTGCCCTGTAAAATTTTACAGATGCGTTTGAATGTAATAAATTTTCAATTTTGAGAGATCTTGGTTAATAGACGATCAGGCAAATGCTATGAATATGGCGAGAAACTGACTTCCCGTGAAAATTCCCAATTTCTATATACCAATATGTATGTACATACATATATGTACATATATATGTATGTATGCATATTGTTGGAAAGGTGGTAAGTGAAGCCCCTGAAATTCTAGAAACCCAGTAATATTTTGTAACAGCAATAACTTGGGAGCCCTGAAATTTTTGAAACCCAATAATGCTGTAAGTTAGGATTCTCCGGAATTTAACACAGCAATAAATTCTCATAATGAGTTCTCATTGCCTGGTATTGATAAAAACTAAAAGGCTTTAGTCTAATCTGGCGTCTATTAATTCTGAACAAATTATACTGATCATAGATGCCTTAAACAACTACTAATGATGGGTTTTTTTAAATAGCAAAATTTGTGATTTTTAACGCTTACAATTTTCTGATAGTAATAGATGAACATACATAAATGTTCGTCTTTATTGAGGAAAAATTTCTTCAAATTCCGCTTTTTCTTTCAAATGAATTTATAATTAATAATTCATTAATTTAACCAGGAACTACACCACGTCGAACTCCCTACGAAGTCCGGGTAACCTACAACTCGCTTATCGGACTTTCGAACTATTGGTCAAGAACGCGAACGACGTTATCGCCCCGGTCCTCGTTCCAGCGCAGGCCGTCATTACACAGTTTTCCCTCTCGTGCAACTACCTCCTCATTCTTGACCACGCTTCGCTCGATTTGACCTCGGCGTCTCTCCTGCTGCTCTGGAGCGGCGGCGCGCTCGCGTTGTGGACCGTGGTGCTCGCGTTTGGCGGGTATATTCACACCCAGGGGTCGGCAGACGCTCTCCTCCTGGAAGCAGTTCGCTTGGCCGAGGACAAAGAAAGCTGAATTGGTCAAATTTCGGAGGAGCTGCAAGCCCCTCGCGCTTCGCGCCGGGGGATATTTTTGCATAGGAAAGTTGACCCTGCTAAAGTTCCTCAGGGGCATTGTGAGAGGCACGTTTAGGGCGTTGTTAGCCTTGAAGTAGTGGGTATTTTTTGAAAATGAAGGAAATCATTGAAACGGTTTTTGAAGGACGTTTTTAAATGAAGGGGGTACAGTGGAATTATTTATGCGTGTCACCTCATTTGAATAAATCTCACTTTGCCTATGCAGTTTCTTCACGTTGAATATCCGTAAACGCGATGTCTCTCGCGAATTCGTCAAAATATGTAAATGAAGTGACTAGTACAAATAATTCGACTGTAGGTTTTAATTTTGTGAATTAACGTGTATTCACTAAATACTATAGAATCGCATAGTTTGCAGGACATTTTTGGAAATTTTACATTCTCCGGCATTTCATAATTTGATAATTTTCCCATAACCGTTTCCGATGATATTTTTTAAAATTCCCTGGTATGATTACACACATTTGTTTAACTGGGACGGAATGGGAAACGATTTCGTGTGTACATAAGTGGTAGCTAAGAGAAATAACTTCTGAAAAAATGTGTGTAATTCGTGGACAAAATAATACCCCGTAAAATAGCTTGATGTGGTCAAGCGATAAAAAATCGTTACACAAACCTGTGTAATTTGGTACGCAGTGGAATATTTCCGAAAATTAACTGGTAGCAAGTAAGTACGGATTAGAAAATTAAGTACAGCATAGTTACATTGATCCAATAAATGTTATCTTGGTTGACATGAAGTTATAATTTATTGGTTAGACCAGACTACAGTATGTATAATTAGTGCTGTGCAAAATGTATTATGGATGGATATTGCAAATAAATATGTTGGTGCTTAGCCGTATGTATTTACCAAGCTTTTAAACTTTTACCATATATATATATATTTTATTTAAACAAATATTCTGGAATATTTTACATTTGGTTTAATTTTAATATTAAGTAGGAATATATTATATACGTAGATATGTATGTAATGTATAATTAATTTAGTATAAAAATACATAAACGACCAAGATTATTTTTACCGCTTAATTACATATATGCATGCAAACCATCGTATGCACAAATTTAGATATAATTGTTACAAGTCAATAAACTCTGTAAGCTACGTGACTGGATTTTTCACAAGTTCGCCATAAATCTGTGTAATTGAAATGGAAAATATGTATGGTAATGTCATGATGAGGGAAATTGTGAAATTAATTATTTTCAGTTTAACAAATTTAATCATAGCCCACATCACATGGCATTGGTGTCATATGTATTTACATATCTACGTTGTGATTGAGACGCTTTTTAAATACTCGTAAAAATTTTGGAGCACGTATTTAGAACATTCCCACTTCTTCATGGAATTAATATCAATCTATATACATTCGGTTTTGAGGAATTTGGATATACCAATAATAAATGTGTATTTTAAGATCATATTTAATTTCTTGAATTAATTTAGTGATTTATTAAACAAATTTGAAACGCACATAATTTATTAACTTCATTTAAATAAATAGTCGTGATACATATGTATGTGTACTAAAAATACATAAAAATAAAACCGACTCTTTTGCATTGTTTCATAATATATTAAAACTAATAACAATATTTACAAAATATCGTAATATCTAAAATACATATGCATTATTTACTCTAAAATATTTGCGGCTTAAAAAAGTAAAAATCATTTCGAAAAATCTAGCCCAAAAACTATCAAAAATTACATCTTAAACATTCTCCATCACATCGACATCGTCCCCAACGTCGCTCAACAATTCGTAAAAACTCTGTCTCATTTCCTTAAAGAATTCAGTCTTTCTCATCTCAAATTCCCTACTCGTTAACCTCTCAAACCTTTCCGACTCCATCTTAAAGTCGTCATGATTCACCGTAATATTCTCGCCTCGCATAATCTTCTCCGCCGTAATCATGATAGCCGGCCCGCAGTCGTTCTCCCCTTGCACCAAACCCTCCAATAAATCCCCCTTCCGCCACTTTCCCCCCGAATTTGGCAGCATGTTTAACGTATCAGCGACAAACTGTCCCTCATTATTCAAATATTTAATCGACCCCGGAACATCCACCCCGTCGAACAAGGGGTCATAAACGTTGACCCGAAACGTAATGACGTTGCACACGAAGAGAATGAAATGCGAAAAACCGATCACATTTCCGGCGCCGTCCTTACTGGGGGAGGTTTGATGGGGGAATATCCAGGTTGATTTTTCTTCCGGGATTTCCAGCAGGTGGGCGAATGATGCGGTTAAATAGAAATATTTTCCCGTGTAGAAATCATCCGCTCTAAAAGCCCGGGTGGATCCGATATAAACGGAGGCGGGTTCTTGGTCCCGGAGGAGGTAAAAGTACAGCTCAATGATGGCAATTGAGACGGGTTTTTGAGGAGTTTGCAGGTCGGAAAGTTGGACCGAGGTGACGTCGAGGGAGTAGAAGAAGGAGGCTAAATGGATGTCGGGGGAGGCGGGGGATGTGACGCAGTTTTGGTAGAGGTGGCGAAATATGGCTTCGAGGTAGTCGCGCTGTGAGCAGTGGTGGATGACGAGGGTCTCGAGCACTTCGTAGATAAAGTTGGGCGACGGCATGGCGGAGACGAGCTGGTTGGTTTTGCGGGCGATGGATTTTTCTGAACCGCGACGGCACGGGGTGGATTCGCGGATAAGCTTTTCCCAGAAGGTGGGGTCGGTCAGGTGGTCGGCGAGAGGGGGAGATGGGAGGTTGATGAGGGATTTGGAGATGAGGAGGAGGGTGGCGAAGTCGGGCTGAAAAAGGGGGAGAATTGTGAATTAATTTCGAAATTTTGATACAACTTAGATGTTTAATATTTCTTTCCAAAGTTTAAAAAAATTCTAAAAAGTGGTCACATTCTGCAAGTTGAATTTGTTGAAATTGTGCAATTTTGTATAGTTTGTAACTTTGTAAACAATTCTTGAAATATGGAAATTTTGAAAATTTGTAAAAAATATTTGATATTTACGCAAATTGTTTTAATTAAGGCAAGGTTTTGAAATTATGTTTTTTTAGATTTTCCCGTTAGTTTGTAATTTTAAAACTTCTTACCAAGAATCCTTCCTCCATATTGAGTCCCGTGACGGGAATGTGGATCTCTTCGTGTCAAAAGTAATCTGAAAATAATAAATAAACAATAATATTTATTAGATTTTTAGTTTTCTTAGCTAGAAATCACACCTCTCCTCCTCCCAATTAAGTTTTTATCTTGTTTACAATTATTAATCGGAAAGTAATTAAGCGTGGTGGGTTTGACTTCAAAATCACAGCTTGGAAAATAAACAATTTCAGATTTTACGTCAAGACTCGTAACCAGAACGTTGACAACTTTTAGAATTACGTGTAATGAACAATCAAACATTCAAATAATTATTTGCGGCATGTGTCATTTGTTTACTCAAGTCACGTGTTCAACAGGCCACTCACCAGGGTTTTCCATAAAAATATACACTAAAAATACATAATTTAAAAGTTTTCCTTACCGTAATAAACTGTTGCGTACGTCGAAATTTCTCAAATTTCCAACTGCTACTTAACTCTGGAGGTAATTTGTTAACTGAATAGTAAAAACAAATTACTTACTTCATATGCGAGAGAGAGAACGGATGTAGGTTTAAACTTCCACCACCACATGCATTTTTGTTGGTTTAGCTGTGTAAATATTGGTGATGATGATAAAACTCGAGTTAGGAACAGGTCGAAGGACGGAGTGGAAATGAGGCTGGAAAAGCAATGCCATCCTGACAATCGGCAAATCCAAAAATAGGACCAGGCACCTTTTGGGACAAAGGATAGAATTTTAGAGACTGAAATACGCAAATATCTGGGTTTTTACTTTAACCCTTCCCTTTGAAGCTTATTTACCTGATTAGTTTTATGAGAACCCTTTTGCTCAGGTGTGTACGAATCGGTCCTTTCACCTCAGAAGAAACTAAATACCCTTCACGCCTTAGACAGGGTACAAAGTTAACACTGTAAATATTTTTCCCCCGATTGTTGCTGTACACATGTATTTATTTGAATACATAATTTAGCTCGTAAATATTCATATCTACATATCTACATATTCCTTCATAGATATATGTGTACACAGTTATTAAAGGGTTTTTAATTATGGATAAGCTTTGCACCTTCGAACCCTACAAAATGATAATTTAATGAGAAGTTAGTTTTATGACATGTGAATGAAGACTCTGCGAAATATTCCTGTCATTAGCCGTTAGGGTTAGGGTTGAAAAAGCTTTGCGATGGGTGGAGAAATATTATATTGAGAGTATTCATAATTCCTTCTTATCCTCCGTATTATCCATGTCGTAAAAATAAGTTACGACGGTTACGAGACTAAGCCTCGTGAGATTTTGTCATCAACGATCGCTTTATTTAGGTTATGATTTTTACTAAGCTTGATCCCTAGCTTTTCTTCGGTTTAAACAAGGTTTAAACTATTTTACGATACTAAGGATACGAAGACACTGTGAATACCCTCATTGTATTTTATGGCCCAATAATTTTGGGGTAAAATTTTTACAAATATTTTGCATTATAGGTAATTTATGAAACCTGGTATTTCTTAAACTGCATGGTTGCGATTTTCTTTACACTTGCATATGCACATAATATCTAAAATATGCTTAAAATTGATGAAACATTTCATTTCATAATTATGTAAAGTGTAGGAAACAAAGAAAAACAATTTTTTTTAGCAATGCAGTTCTACTCTTTAATTCAGCCTTATTTACTTTTTGAATTGTCCAACACAAATTATTTCCGAATTAAGAAAGAAAAAAGTACAAGATTTACTTAAAACGCTATGTATTTATGAAAGTACTGGAAAATATGCATATCATGACATGAAAGACATTGACAAGGTTTAAGCTTAACAAAACTATTCTGCTTAAAATATACTGAGCAACTTTAAATCAAAATACGAACATATTTGTTGAAATTAATTTTCAAAATTTTGAATCCAATTTTTGAAATTTTCCTTCCGTCCTCCTCACTGTCTTTCATCCTCATCCGATCCCGCCGCCAATAATTTCGAGGCCGCCTTACACGAATCCGCTCTACACTTTTCTAACCCATCTTTATGCTTCTGGCTGATTTTGTCACGTGCCTTTTTGCTCAATTTTTTCATCTGGGCGTCAATAACGGTGTTCGCTTTGGACAAAACTTCCCCAACTTTGTCCAGAGCTTCGGAACCTTCCTGTTTGGCGGCACGTTTCCTTCTTCCGCCAGGTTTTTTGGAGGACGACGTGTCCTCGGCGAACTGGGCGAAAACTTTGGACCCCTGGGAAACCTCGGTTTGCAACATTTTAATAATTTCGGCCCCAACTTCGGCATCGTCTTCTAAAGCGATTTCACCGATTTCGGATAAAGTTGAGCCCACGTTGCAGACCGTTTCTCCGATTTTTTTGGTGTATTCGATCACATCTTTGTATTCGGGGTCAGGTTCGGGTTTGGGTGGTGGTGGGGCGGGGCAGACGGGACAGGTGTAGGTCGTGTACCAGTAGTGCGGCGTGTGCACGACGGCGGCCGAGACGGGTTGACCGTTGGAATACGTCGTGGCGGCGGAGCCTGGCCAAGCGTTGAATAAAGTGGAGGCTGGGGCGTAGAGTGGTTCTGAAAAGAAGAGAATGACAAGGTTTAAAAAAATTACGAATTTGTAAAGTTTGTGGTGGTTAGGTTAGTTCAGGTAAACGCACATTTTTGATTGCGTGAGGTCTACTTCTCTATTAAGCGACATTAGTACGTTTACAAATCGGTAATCATATTTATGGAAAATATTTATTTGCATGGAATGCACATACATACATACGTACATAGGTCTGTATCTATTCATGTCCAATTTGTAATTTTGTAAAAATATGGCGTAAGTTGGTTGCTTCTATCAAGCGAATTATTACTTTTATAAATAATTATGTGCAAAATATTTGCACGTACGCTTGTAACTTTGTAGATTTTGCAAAACTATAGTGTAACAAAGGAGATTATTAATGTGCCTTAATTTTGTAGACTTTGAGGTTTACATGTATTTACAATTGGGAAACAATAAAACTTTCTGGTGTCAGTGTGTATAAAATTTTAGACGAATTGATTCATTACATATGTACAAATGTATTTAGTTATTAACGAGGTTGCAAAGATGACGTGAATGGCTTAATTATTGCATACAATTTACATAAATACCTTTATGTGGGCAGTACATACAAACATTGAGGTTGTGATAATGATATGATTTATATTATGTACATATTTATGTATGTACCTACATATCAATGCATACCGATGCAATTTGCATACTTGGCTAATAAGTATGTACATATATATCTATCCGCAAGGTCGCACAAGGACGACTGAAAAAAGTAAAACTGGATTACAATTTGCATGCAAACATTTTGTAGAAATTTTTAACTTCTTCACAAAAATGAAAACTTAACCCCCATAAATTTCTACAATTCTTCAAATTAATAGGAACTAAGTCAGTCTCAAACCTAATTTGAAAAATCTGCAACCCAAATTTTGCAAAATCTTTCCGCAAAAATAATCCCTGAACACATTTAATCCCACTCTTTTCTTTCAACTACACAAATAAATTCCTTATCCACTTACGCGTCACATGTCCCCCCACAAAAACGAAAAGACACGACGAAACCACCACAATTCCGGGCAACATGTTGTCAAAAATCTCAAAAATTCAAGTTTAACACACTCCCGTCTCGTCCTCTCCAGGACTGGAATGATCTCCTTCGACTCAAATTTGTACCACTTTGTCTCACTCAAGATCACCCAAGCTTCTCGATTTAATCTCTCTCACCTCACCCGACCCAACCCAACCCAAACTTAATCAAATCTCGAAAAGGAAGACAATTCAGCTCTCGCACATAAAATGCGACGTGCAACTATCTATTCTCTCCTCTGGCTGGAATTAAGTATAATGTATAAATCACTGTAATTACTAAACAGCTACTAAACAAAAGCTCTGCAACTGTTTCATTGGTTGGAATAGTTGGTTCCAATTATTTGCCTCCAAACACCACATTTTTACCTTTATCGCACACCATTAAAGGAACGAAAACTAGTTTACTTTATTAGTTTATGTATGGCCAGAAGATCTCCACGTTACATTATTCAATGTCAATCTCGTTGCGTCAAGTTTACCGAGAAGATAAGAATTGGTTGGATGGTCGGCAGATTATACGGCAAGGTTGGTTGTGCAAGGAAATTAATGGTTTAGTCAGATGGCTTTTTTGTTAAGCATGTACTACAAGATGCGCTTCACGTAAATTTGCTTCTGGAGTGCGATGACAAGTTCAGGGTTGTATTTAAAAGATGAAATTATTGATTGAATTTTTTCCCCGCCTGGGGGACCACTGACGGGGGGAGATTAATCATTTCATGCAAAATATTTGGACTGAAGTGACGGCATGCATACTGATCTTAAGCTCTGGCGGCAGAGGTATAATGTCACCCTGTAATTTTGTACCTCAAGTCTTAATTGAATCTCAAAAGTTGTAGTCGTGCAATCAAAATTAGTTCAGGGTGGTTACGTGTGTGTATTTAGGGGGGATCATTTGCATATTATATGTATGTAAACTTGACGTTGGGAGGTATACTGAGATTTTTTGTTAATCTGCTGCTGCTGTCAGTACAGATTTGTTTATGAGATAAAAGATTGATTGATTTAATTTTGATGGGGAGCGAATTTATGCGAATTTATTTATTACGTAGGTAGGTAGTAGGCATCGATAAAAATACATATGTGTCTATTTACGGGTAAAAAGTTGACGAGATTGAAAAACGTAATAAAATGAAATGGCAATCGAAAATGGCAATCAATTTGCGAATGTTGATTCTACCTTTTTATTTTACTGGCATGATTTCGGGTTTGGCGACAACGCCCAAAATAGTATTTGCTATAAAATTTTATAGATCCACGTGTAAGTGAGTAGTTTGATGACAAAGTTTAAGTATGTGTAAAATTTTTGCACGTACATATGTATGCATTTTTGCAATATTTGTTTAGAAAATGGAGAACAATAAATTTAAAGATGAGTAATGTCCATTTTTTGTGCATGGTAGGTAAAGAAAATTAATGGGTTTGTTGAAATGCGCAATAAAATTGATCAGTTGCACTTCACGGGTACAAATTCGCGGAACAAATGTTGTCATTTTTATGTAAGAAGAAGGTTGAGAAGATTAACGAGAATGAATGAGTCGGCCTCGTTAATTACATAGTTTTCGATACTTTTGAGGGTGTCATAATTGAAAATAGATTGAGGTAGGTGATGGTCTCTCTTAGGTGAATTCCAGAGGAGATTGGAGGATTCATGGAGAAATTACTCATTCTGTAGGGAAATTAAAGTCGAGAATGCACATAATTACAGAGATTAAGTCGATTTTAATGGGGTTACAAACACAGCAAAATGTACATATGTGCAGACAGACATATTCACAATTTTGCACATACCTACGATTCATATGAATGCATGCATAAGTCGTTTTGTGGAATAAAATCGGGTACCTTCGCATGTATAACAAGACAGGTGTCAATTTAACCAGATATGTAGATACATATGGGGGCAAGTTGGTCATGCCTGACTAGATACATAGCAGATTAGACACAGCAAAGATATCATATATATGTACATATCCCCAAATCTACAAATCTCAGTAAATCACGCGAAACAGGATTCATACAAGCAAAAATGGGGGTAAAAACACGCACTAACTTTTATTCCGGCCAGAAATTCCGTATGAGATCATCTCCTCAATCATCTCTCCGCATCTCATCTTCTTTTTGTTACGAAAATCTCACGCTGTTACAAATGAGTGAGATGCGATCACATCGTGATAAATTTGTAATTAACTGGACACACTTTTTGCGTGTCCAGGACGTACATCATAAATACATACCTCTGAAATGTTTTCTTAGGTGTGGCAATTTCACCGCTTGAATAAATAGCATAAAAATTAATTAATTGCGATCCACATTTTCCGTGTTAATCGAATCTTCCATCGAAATAATTAAGTAGGCAACCCCTCCATTATTTGAGGTGTGGTGCGCCCTAATTAATTTATTGGGGTGAGTAATAGAAATAAAAATAAAAATGTTTTCATGTGCAGCACGGCAATTACGATAAGCAGAAAATGAACACATGTTGGATGACTGGACTGGAATTCTGGATCTTGTCCCATGATTTTTATTACGACTGCTTAATAACCATGAGAGCAACTTAATCTCCAGTCCGGTCTAGTAGATAGCAAAAAGAGGTCCATATTCCAAACTAGTCAAGTGGAGAGAGAGAAGGTGAAGATGAAGATTCTCGATTCGAAGGGCCAGCCAGAGGCACGTCAAGATCAACTTTTTCGCAGTGTGGTTTGGCTAAAAAGTCATTTTGTTCTGCGAAATCTGTATGAATTTTTTTGCACATGGTACATATCTTTAAGACAAATACATATGTACATATGTACATAAAAATCAGGGTATAATATGTATGTATGTACCCATTTGCTTATAAGCGCACCTGACCATGCAACAATGAGACGGAATAATATTAACTTTACCTGTTTTACCTGGTCGCCATTGTGCCGAAGGTTTTATTCCATTTGCTTTTATGAGCCTCATTTATTTATTAACTTACATATCGTATCGTATCGCTGGCATGACATTGGATTGGATTGGATGAACAATTTGCAGACGAGTTGGTCTCTTTGAGTTTGGTCATTATTTGAGCGATAATCTTGGCGTATGTACTTGACTCGTGAATGAAGGAAGTCGTATTATTACTACTATTGTGACGAAAAGTGGACAGTTTTTTTTGGGGTGAATAAAAGAATATCACTTTGGGCAAGAAAACGATTAAATATTGCAAAAGTGCAGTAGGAAATATCTGTATTATTGTGTGTTTGACATACTCATAAATTTGCGTATTTGACAAGGTCGTGCTTGGACAGGATGTGAAAATTAATAATTAGTTGTGACGAGGATAAGTTACATAATTTGGAAGAAGTTAAGGGAAAAAATTGGGAGGTAGATTTAACGTGAGATGAAGATGGGACCGGATAAGTATTATTGGATTGGGATTTTTGTGGTAATTTGCGGCATAGCGAATAGGTGAGTGTGTATTTTTGCAAGGAATTTGTATAGAATTTGCAACATTTTAATTATGCACGGATGTGTTTAGTTTTTGAAAACTTTGTAATGACTGAATTGTAAAATTGAGTGTAAAAATTCATTTTAAGCTAAAGCTATACAAATTTGATTCATTTGCGCAGTTTGGAAACTTAATGAGCACAATTTGTGGAAATTTTGCAGTAAATATTTTTATTTTCCAATATGTCTCCTGTTTATCCTTCCACCTCTTTTATGGCCACTTATGTAAAAAATGCTACATGCATAAGTACGTAAAACAAGTTTATTTTTTATAACGCGAAGATGTGCAGTACCCATTTTACATATGTATATGCATACATGAGCCAAGTCCTGTTTATGCTGAAGGTGATGACGCAGTAATCATTAATTACACCTTGACAGGAATACTGACACGTTTCTTAATTAAGTATTCAACTGTCTTAATTTTAATTGGGAACATTGTAATACAAAAAATGGATTAATTGTTTATTTTAAACTGGTTTGAAAATACATATGAAATAAGATTGATCAAGGTAAACCATAATCTTGAAAATTTGCGTGTTGCTAAATTTTCGAAAAAAGAAGATGTTGTTCTTTGCATAGTTTCAAATTATGAAAATTATTAATTCGAAGGTTACATATTATCAAATGATTAACGATTGTCTTATTTTTGTTTCTTTAGTTCGGAAGCCCTCAAATTAAACCCATTTAAAAGTCATGCCCCCGAAGAAAGGAAAATTCGGGTAGAACGTTCCCCAAAGCCGGATAAAACGACGGGTGGACTTTTTGGGGATGCATTTGGCAGTGATAATTCCTCCACACCGGCTTCCGTGGGAGGAGCAGATGGCGGTAAAACGCCAAAAATTGGATTCCTCCCCCTGCCACCGGGCTACAATAAGTTGGTCATCCCCTTGGGAAACGTCAGCAAGGAAATATTCGTCATGGTGCATCTCTCAATTAGAGAAATTTTAGACGTGGATTCGAATGAGGGGGTAAGTTTTTATTTCGAATGAAAATATTTCACTCGGATTTTTGTAACGGAGTGAATTGTGCAAAATGATTTTGAAGAACTTCGCAAAAAAAATGTTTTGCAAGAAATTAAAATTATATCTGTAAATTATTAGGTTAACTCCAATTCAAGTCCCTCTGATTTGTGTTATACAGTAAAGCGTATAACTTTAAAAAACTTCCCAAAATAATGATTTTTTTGCAAATTTGTAATAAATGTATAGCCAAATTTTCTTTCGTAAATTGGGCAAACTCGATAGGTTGTAGAATTTATTTACTATGTAGGTTACAAAAATAAGAGTGAATTTATTGCGTCAATCAAAAGTAAAAGCAAGGTCTTCAGAAGACGATTGATGTCTACTAAATAAATCGCACATTTGCAAATGTGCGAAAAGGGGTTTAGGCAGTTATATATTATTGGGGAAACATAAATATGTTAATTTGTTGTTTTATTGCACATTTTGGCAGTGTGTGATATGGAATAAATACTTACATAGTTATTATTGACGATAAATAAATATATGTTAATTTGTTGTTTTATTTGTTATGCAAATTGTTTATGTAGATAGTAACCATGGATACGGAACTCGGCGTGACGTGGATAGATTGGGAAGTGTGGAAATATTTTATTGAGGATGAAGAAGCCCAACAAAAGGTGAAGGATGGTCAGGAAGAGATCATTTTGGACTCCGAGTTTCTCAAGATGATCTGGAAACCCGACATTTTTATTGGTGCGAAAATTTGCAAAGTCATGAAACAAAATCCAATTGTCATGATGAGTGTGCTAAAAGTTTGCAATTATAATGATTTTTTTATAGAGGAAATGGAATCCGTCGCGAGGACGTCGATTCTCGTAAACTTGGTAAACCTCCGATTTCTCGTTAAGAATCCGGTGATGCCCGGAGCTATCACTTTCGAGGCGAGACAAACGTTCAAAGTGCGGTGTGAGATGGACTTTAAGTATTATCCGGCCGACATTCAGGTTTGCCCGCTGAATATTAGGTCATGTAAGTTGGAAATAAATTTACATAAAGTTTAACATTAAGGATTTAATGAGAAAATTCACGTATTCACGTCGTTGGTAACTTTGTAAAATCCGTAAACTTGCAAATTTTTACAAATATTTTCAAGTTTATTCAGACGAAATGCGTCTTTTATCTATTAAATGTTTTATACAATTTGGAAATTTTAGTTTACATAATTTACCGAATTTACAAAGTTACCAATGTCTGCGTGAATACACTCAATATGTCACAAGTATGTAAGTAGATATGTAAATGTAAACTTTGTTGTGCAGACTCGTACACGCAAGATCAACTCTTCTTACTGTGGAATCCATCTCAAAGCGTCTTCCTCGACCAGACGGAAGACTCGAACTACGATTTCCAAGTATCTAATGTCGAACCAGGAGAAAAGTTGTACGAGCTCTTTACCAAGAGCCAGGCTCCCTGTTGTGGGCGTACGTATTTAGAAATTTTAATTAAAAGGAGAGACAGATTCATGCATGGAATCTATATTTTTAGTGGTGGTTAAATACTACTTAATGTTTGTCCCTATAAAGTATTTATGTATGTATGAAGCCGGTTTTTCAATTTTCCTGTGGCGGATGAAAACATGATTTGAATGCAGATTCAATGAATCTTACTCTCCCTTTAAATAACACGAGATTACATCCCGGGTAACAGACGAGTTAATGATTTGGTACCGATACTGTGTCGGTACCAGACAATGCATTGTTTACCTGCATCATTATCAACTCGTCATAATAAATTAAGGTTATGAATTTCGACACTATTTTCCTTCTTGGTGGGACATGAGGAACATTAAACAGATCTGTGCACTCCGGGATTTGTTTTATGTACATGTAGGTCTGACATTTTATTAATTTTGCAATTTTCCTCTAGATCGGAACTACTCCACGCTCAGTTTCTCAATCCAAATGAGGAGGAATTTAACGTAAATAAGCAATGGCAGAAATAAACGAATATTATTTATGCATCGTTAATTTCTTAACCTTTTTCTGGTTCAGGTATCACTTTGTCCAGACGTGTCTACCATCGATTCTACTAATTTTGATAACTTGGCTCTGCTTTCTCCTCCCACCGGACATGGTGGAAGTCCGAATCGGAATTTCGATGACGACTTTACTCACGCTGACCGCCATGTTCACCGCTGTGAGGTGAAGGAAAAATGTTTTTTTTTCTTTACATACATGCATATGTAGTTTAAACAAAATAGGCCAAATTTGACAATATCATGACAAAATTTGTAACTGACCTAACATCAAAATTAGTCACGTCCACGATTATGAAACTGTAGAAAATTAATTTTTACTTAATTGAAAAATAATTCAATTTTCAGAGAACAATCGCCTGCCGTTTCGTACACGATGGCAATAGGTTTGTCCCTATTCAAAAGTCTTTGTTTCGAGAATATAAAAGTTATTTAAATCGTGGATTAAACTTGAAATTATGTGCATAGATATCTGGATGGTGTTTTGCATGTTTCTCCTGTTTTTGGCCCTTGTCCTATTCACCTTCATTTACTGGTGAGTAATTACTTTTCAACTTTTACCTCGTAATTATTATGCCACGGTTGTATTAACGTGGGTGTCAATATATATCGCAGGTTACGTAGAAAATCTAAAGAGGACAGCGAAAAAGATGTAAGTCATCCATGTATTTCTTCAAATCAACATCGTTATTTATAATTATGCAAGTCCGAAATTTTGAAAAAAATAACAATAAGATTAAGGACTATTTAAAATTTCGAAAAATTCTACTCATCGTTCAAAAATTGCTTTCATGGATTGTGAAAAACACGTGTAGTGGATAAATATGCACAATTATTGACGCAAAATTCACCCGGACTGGTAACTTTACAAAATCTGTAAAGTCCATAAACTTACAAACTTTTACAAAGATTTCCGAAAAAAATTAGCTCACAAATTTTAAAAAATTTAAGGGCGCTTTTTTATTTTATAAAAGTTTGCAAATTATTTTACAGTTTTATCGGATTTAACAAAGTTACTAACGACTGCTCAGTCGTGCATGGATAATTTACTAGTTTTGCCATTTTTCCATTAAAAAAATCTGCACATTTTTTTCTGTCTCAAATTTGAAATTCTATTTACTAATTTCCTATCATTTTGATTTGTACAATATTTTGAAAAACATAATTCCCTTTTTTCTCAAGGAACCACCACCCGTCCCTAAAATGGAAGAAAACGGCAACACAGCACCACTCCCCAACGGAACAGGTCATCCCCCCTCCATCAAAAACATCGGAACTTACCGCCGTATCGTTAAAAACATAAAGAAATACTCCTTCTGGTTGTTTGCCTTTATTTTCATCACTTTCCTCATCGCCTATGGCACCTGGCTTCTCACCGCGTCCAACTATTACGACTGGGACCCCTCCGAAAAATATAACGCCCTCCCGCTTGAAGACGAGGACGGAAATGCGAACGAAACCAATCGACTCTTCACCAAGGAGGAGACCACATTCCGACCCACCGCGAAAAAGAAGACGGTCGAAAGCACCTTCCGTTTCAAGGATATTTTCAAAAACGTAATTTTTCCAAAATTGGAGGAAGTCAGGAGGAAACAAAGAGGTGGCGTGGATTCGGAGGAAGAAGCGTCGGAAGAATATGAGGAAGAGACCGGTGGCGCAACCGCAGAGGTGACGACGATGCGATTGGACACTGTTAATGCGACGGAGGGATAAGAAATTTGGGTGAAGGGGGAGGTTACGGAATTTTGCAAAATGTTGTAAATTTTGTAGTAGTACCATATTCATATGCTTAACTAAATGATAAATACGCTGTTAAATAATAAGTAGTGGAATTTGTGAAGAGATTTTACCAGATTTGCGATAATAATGAGGGAATAAAGTTGGTTCATAATATGCACATATTTACATAAGTTTTTTGTAAGGAGTTTTTACCATGCAATATTTACATATATGTATGAATACATTCTTAATTTGTGTACACACAGATGTACGTATGTATCTGCATATGAAATTGTGCAATTAATTAGTCATAAAATTACACTTGTATGTAAAAATTTAACTATTTGGTACCGTATTGCTAAAAGTACGACTTATGCACATAAAGATATATGTATGTATTTATGTGTGTGTGTACATGCGTATGCATGTAATATGAGAAGTCTATGTACTTAAGGTTGGTTTCTTATAAGTGTAGATGCATATGTACATACATTACATATTTAAGGACTAACGAAATCTAATCTTTTGCACATATGTACATACATAAACAAAGTCCAAATTCGTCCAGTAAATATTTTAACAGCCAGGCACATGAAATCCATTCTGGTAAAGAAGGGAGTTCATGAGCTCTCATAAGTTCTCATGAGTCGCTCATGATGAGTTTTATCCAATCCGTTCATGAAAAATGCATCTTGATCAAATATATGTACATACGTTTTAAGTAAGTATGATAGTCACTTCATCTTCATCTCAGCTTGCTGATAGATAGTTCTCTTTTTTAGGAGGATTCAAGTTAAAAATTAATTTCTGAAATAAAATGTTTAACGGAGTAAAGGAATGGTACTACGATACGGTGACGGACGTCCAGAATGCGATAAGTTGTAAGTCACTACTTTCACCAGACCCCTTATTTTTTTGACAATAATAAATATGTAGTGTCAGATTTAAATTTTATTTTTACTTTTAAATGTCAGCCAGCGAAAATCAATTCGTGTCGTATGACAAACTCCTCAAAAAGGCGAATCCCGGCGACCTAATTGAATTTTGTCGTGGTCCTTACAATCACTGGGCAATGATGTCTGAAGAGAACGGAAAAGTCTACAATATTTGTGCGGAGAGTAAGTGCATGAAAAACGGTGTATGTACATACCTAGGTACATATGTATTTATTATTCTGAGGCAATTTACGCAGGCCTTGGTAACATTGTAAAATGAAAATGTGTAAATTCTCTAAATTTAGAAAATCTTATAAAATTTTCTAAGTATTTCTTAGGAAAATTAACTTCCACATTTTTGTTAACTTTCTCAAATCAAGGGCGTCTTTTTATTTTGTGAATATTTTAAAAATTCTTTTATAAAACTTTGCAGAGTTTACAAACGGATTGTATAACTTGCCAATGACTGCGGTAATTTGCTCTGTGAATGAAACTGTGAAAAAATGGGTACAACGTTTTTTTTAAGTTTGAGTTCATAAAAACTCGACAACAAAATTAAGGCGTTTTTTGTAAATCTGTATTTACTCTTTCAAACCTTTTATAAATCTGTATGCAACATTTTTTTTTACTTTTGAAACAAGGCAAGGAATGCACCCAGGCCGAGATAAAACTGCAAACGCTAAAATACGTTTGCGAACTAGGGCCTACTGCAGACCGTCAACGAGCACGTGTCAACAATAAGGAAGGTTTCCGAGGCTTACTGCCAAATTTGATGACCGCAGACCTGGAACCACTTCCGGTTGAGGAGTCGATTGAAATGGCGAGAGAAATGTTGGGAACTTTCGTCGAGTACAGTTTTACCGGAAAAAATTGTGAGTACTATTGTACCCTGTGGAAGTTTGGGAGGGGGTATACGGATCAGGTGAGAAATAAGTAAAAAAAAAATTGTGCGAATTAAGAAAAATTGAATCTAAATAACCTGTGCTCAATATGTTTTCAGGCGTTGAGATACTAATTTTGGCCGCTAATTAATTAATATAGTATGCGATTGACCAGTCAAATAATAAAATTTTAAGCAGTAGTAGTTTTGAAGTGTGGATTTTCCTTAATTTCTGTATTCTATTTGTATTCATGAGCTTCCGAATAAACCTAAATTTTCCTTACTCGCCACAAGTTTGTAATATTTTGCTAAAATTTGCAGTAAATGGTACACACGTTTTTCAAAAATTTTATAATCATTAATATGTTGTGCCGGTAAATAAGTAATAGTAAAATAAAATTTCGAAATTTTACTATTTTTTGTACTTATTTCATAGTTTCCAAAAAAATACTTCTTTGAAATATGTCGGTATTTATTTATTTATACACCGTACCATATACTTAACACACATATTTCAAACCTAACCAACTTGAATTAACTTTGTTAACATGCTGCAAAATTAAGCGTGAAAACACGATTTTTCAAATTTATCGAACAATTTAAATATACCGAATTTAGAAAATTTACTGAAATATTTATGTTTAGTTAGTCTTATACAATTTGCAACCATTGTTTTAAAGTTACATTGCCACAGATTACATCAAATTATGAAGTAAATCGTCAGCTACTTTTACATTTCGACTTTTCTAGAGTATGAACTCTACAACAGTGTTTGACCAATTTACCAAAGTCGGCAAACTTCTCCTCACAGAAGTAGCATTCAGCTCGATTCGAATTCTGGTGAATTCTCGCATGGTTTGCTAAACCGGCTTTCGTGTCACCGTTGAACTCGCATTTTTCGCAGGAATGAATCTCCTTGTTCGCTGGGTGTTCCACTCCCACGTGGCGTCGCATGCTGGATAACGTCGCTAATATCTTGTCACAAAATGCGGAAGGATAATTCCTCGGATTTACATGACTCGCACGAAAATGGTACTGTAAACCAAGTCTACTTAGAAGAGTCCGAGGACATACTTGACACTTGAACATTTCTCGAGCGGATCTTTCCATGTGTAGTTTCTGAAGAACACATTTTTGGAAATTTAATTTTTTACTGTTATATTTCCTACAAAACATTGATTTTACGTAAGTACCTCGTGATACTTCATGACTTTCCTATGGGCGAAACTCCTCCCACATTTGGTACACTTAAACGGTTTCTCGGTCGTGTGAGTGGGAATGTGTTGATCAAGATGTTCCTTCGTTTTGAATTCTTTCCTGCAAAGTGTGCACGGAAATCGGACCGCATTCTCGGCATGATCAATTTTCATGTGATGCTTAATGTATCGCTTGTTTTTGTAGGTTTTCTCACAGCCGAGAAATCCGCATGGAAAACGGGGTCGTTCACTCGTGCTGTGAATGGTGTCAATGTGTTCCCGTAAAGTGGTTGAGTCATAAAATACCCGGTGGCAAATGTCGCAACTGGGGCGTTCCCGATCAGTGTGGAGTCTTTTCATGTGCAGCGACAAGACGTCTGGGGTTTTCAAAATTTTCCCGCAAATCTAAACAAGTCACCAGATGAAGTAAAATGAGAACGCTGATGGTCGAAAATGTTTTCAATTTCACAAATAAATATATTCCCATACCTTGCATTTCACTTTGGCGTCGGCGTCGTGGGTGCCCACGTGCCTTGTAAGTTTCCATTTCCCTTTGAACGTTTTTGAGCACTTGGAACATTTCCATTGCTCCCCTGGTTGGACATCCATTTAAATTTTTTTGGATTGGCCTTCAGTTAACAGATTTTAGCATGAATATGTACAAGAGTTTGTCAAAGTGAATGAAAAGTGTGAAATATCTGTAAGTAAGTTTCACAAATTAAATGCAAATTGTTGCCACAAAATTTTACACCAAGGTCCAACTATTTGAATACAAATGAAATGGATATTTCCAACTTTTTAATCGTCGTTCTCATTATTGTATTTCTCATGTATGATGGTAATTAACTGTGTATTCACAAAACTTTCTTGTTAATTAGACTTTAAACCATGTCAAAAATATATACAGAGAGATTTTATCTAACATTAATGGCTCTGCTGTAACTTGACCAAATTCCAAATTCGTTCTGCTGGTTTTTATTAGATACGTTGAATGAAGACTAATAATAAATTTGTGTGGTGAGAAAAAAGGGTTGACGATGAATCACCCGTCTATGGTACTTAAGAGCCTTGCAAAAGTGCGGTTGATTGCTACAGAAAGTAATCCTCCACTTCTAAACTAAATATACCACGAGTGAACCCTTTCTTTCCCCTTGGACGGAAATATCTATGTAGGAAATATCTGTTGCCTGTGGATTTTTAACTACATACGAAGCTGTTAGGCCACTCTTCTTCTTCCAAAAAGGGAGAGGTTATGAAGTTGACGGTAATACCCATGGAATAAGATATAGTACCATACTATACCCCAATTTCCTACCTAATTTTGATGCCCTTTGGATACAGTGGCCACAGAAGCGTGGGGAAAAAAGAACAATGTTCCCCGGTTGTTCGATGTCCCCATCATCTGGGCATGTTACATATGTAAACCCCTCCCTCCCATATGCTCCATGTTAATCTCCTTAGATGTCCCCATGGCTTCCGCGGCCACTGCTTGGATGTTATAATTATAACCGAATGTAGTAAAACCCCCAACTTGTTTTACTCCATTCCTCCATATTTTTGTACATAGGTAGGTCCCTTTTTGTGTGCGAAGTCTTGGTTAATATTTTTCTGCACGCATTTGAAATATATAGTATGCTCTGTGTTCGAGTATACTTACATAAATTATGTCACGGTTTAGGTGGGTTGGGAGGGTAAAAGTATTGTGTGGCAGGACGATTTGCGATATATGTGAAAAAGGGGGTGTAAGGCGTGACAAGGAGGAAGGGCGGGTCTAACAAATCGCATTTTTGTAGCATAATTTATGAACGTTCCATTATGGTAGAGTTTGCTGGATACGTGTCAGATCAGAAATTAATTATCGATTGACTCATTAATTGGTGAAATAAAAAATAATAATTTTCAAATCTGGATTTTAATAAAATTTCTACATTTTACCCGTATTAATAAGCTTCCAATTAATATCATTCTTTATTTATTAATGACAAATTTGCTAAAATTTGATGCAACAGTTTTTTTCTAAATTTCAAAACCATTAATATGTAATGGCAAATGGTGAGTAATACTCACCAGTATTATAATAATAAAAACCTGAAATTTGACTACTTTTTATACTGTTAAATTTCTTATTTCATAATTTCCGACAACTTATTTCTAGAAAATTTGAAACAATTTAACAGAGCACATTGACTTCTTTAACTTTATCCAAGAACGCCTTCACGGCACAGCAGTATTGATTGGCTTGGCAGGATTGGCGAATCGTGACGGCTCCACCGTCGGAATCCGATTTTCCCAAAACGCCCGCATTCTTGCAGCAGATTCGATCCGTAACTTTGTTATCGTAACAAACGCCGTCCAATTTGGCGACGCTGAGACCCGACAAAGCGTTGACTTGAAGTTCGCACGTACCTCCCATCTTTGCGCCGTCGACGGATGGCATTGGAGCTGGGGAAATATGAGACACATGGAATTCTGATTGGATCATTTTTTATATAAAAATCTTACCTGGATCTTCCTGCGTAGTTATTCCGGAAAATGAAACGATAATCAAAAGTATGACGGATAGAGGTGATGAGATAAAGGCTTTCATGATTTCGATGGAAATTTATGAACCAATAATTTGGGCACGGAGGAGAGACTTTTTTGACTGTTTTCCTGCGAAGTGAAATAAATTAAAAACGAATGCTTATAAATTTGGTGTTGATCAAGCATATCCTGTTGTACACATAAATATTGTAACAATGGCATATTTCGTAACTGTTTTTGTGGTATTTTTCCTCGGCAGGAAGAAGTAGGTAGGTATTGTCCCGACAGAATTGTTTTATGGAGGAAGAAATTAAATGAAGTGGTGAACAATTCATTCATTCATAAAGTTAAAATTTTTAACTTGATTACTCATCGCTTGAGTGGGGTGTCGGTAAAATGTGCAGTCATGATTTACATATTTGCGTATGTCCGGCATATGCAAGGTTATATAATTGCGTACTTTATACATACATGTATGCAGTAGAAATATGCAAATATATGTATAGGTAAAACTGTGTGTACTGTGTGACCTGGCAGCAAACATTTGGAGCACATCAAGAGAGTCAATGAGGGTATTCACAATTGTCTCGACGAAGAAAAAACAAGGGGTCAAGCTTCTTTAAAAAATTGTAAGCTTCGTAAGCTTACAAATAGTGACGTGATTTTTTATGACAAAATTCTACTATGCGTACAAAATTTCGTAACGTCGCAACTAATTTTACGATACGAAGAATACTAAAGATTCGAAGGGATAATGAGGACCCTCATTATAAATATTGCTTATTTTATCAAGTACATATTTACTAGCTCAGCTTTAATGCGATATGAAATACATACATAATCATGCTAAAAGTTTTCATTGTTTAACTCTTTATTACTTATACATGTACAGCCATTCCATTTGTGGAGATAAATAAGTCAAATTATTATAATTTGTTTAATAATTTATTATAATAATAATAATTTATAATAATTTATAATAATTTATAATAATTTATAATAATTTATTATTATAATTAATTATCAAATTATTATTATTATACCACACCCATGTATTCCGACGAAACCTCCTCAAATTATTATAACAGAGTTTATTCAAATTTTACGAACTACGCATGTATGAAATCTATTAATGGAAAACATTAATTAATACAGTTTAACATCGGAACATAACTATTTATTAAGTTATTATAGCTATTTATTAAGCTTCACCTGGCTGCTGCTGCCCAACATACTTTTTCTTAAGGCTGCCAATAAAGTCAGCCTCCAATTTTTTAAAGAGATGAGAAACCTGGGAAAAATGAATTTTTTCATTAGATCAATTTAATTTGAAATTCGTTAATTAGGGCACGTCTATATATTACGTCATCATTTTCAACATGGGAGCATAGGGAAATTTTCCCTTTCGTCTTGTGTTGAAAATGATGACGTAATACATATATGGACAATCCCTATTTTGTCGCCCACTCACCTTTCCCAATTCATGTCCGACACTCAGGAATGGAACGAGTTGCTTGGAAAATATGGGTTTTGGAACGTTAAGTTGTTCTCTAATTTTGCGACTCACACTAGGAAGGAATGGTTCCATAAGGGTCATCAGAAGGAATACGATTTGAGCCCCTAAACCGCATATGGTTCCAAATCTCTCCAGACTGAGTCGAAAAAAACAGGTAGAATTATTGCAACATTGTCATCTCTTGACGAATACAAAGGGGGCCGTCCATAAATTACGTAACGCAAGCTGGGGGAGGGGGGGTCTAAGGCTTGAATGATATCGCGCCTATGTTACACATACTAAAATAAAGACGGAGGGGTCTAGAAAATCTAAATTTCTGCGTTACGTAATTTATGGAGGGCCCTAAAAATAAAATAAATATAAATTGCCCTCCTACTCTTGCTCATTCTTGCTGAGAGTCCATGGTTGTTGTGTTTGGAAGTAGACGTTGCCAATTCTGGACACTGCCAATATTTTACGAAGTCCGTCCTTCAACTTGCACGCTTCTAGAAATTTCACATACTCGGAGATTTCTCTATTGATTTCTGCAACAACGCGGAAGTCGTCGTCATTTAAATTCATGGGTGGAATTATACTGTTAAAAAACTTGGCTAAAAACGTCAAAGATCTGAAATACAAAACCAATCAAGATTTATATAGTTAAATTTTGCACATCAAACATTTAAAAAATAGCAGATATAATTAACTGGTCATCGCACCTATTAATAAAATTGCCCAGATTATTCAGCAGTTCGCTGTTATTTTTTCGCATAAAGTCTTTCCATGAAAAGGCCGAATCTTGAGTCTCAGGTCGAATAAAGATCAAATAAAATCTCCAAATGTCGGCTGGTATTCCTGTAAAACAATTATTACAGCAAGAGAGTTGTAATTAAGTAATTTCATGGTGCCAAAAATCCTGTCTTGGACAGGATTTTTGGTTAATTGATTGGACATTCATTTAAGTTCATGAAATTGTAATATGACAACTGATGAATAAAATCAGATTGCAGATTTTTTAAATCATTGCTCTCCGGTACTGGTTTCTGTTCCTCGACTCACTCTATATTTAATGACTTCAGACCTACGTACCTGACCTATTGACTATGCTGATGCTAGCCGAAAACTAGGACTCACCCGTTTGTATCGCATCATTTCCAAACACTCCCACGCCTCGACTCTTGGAGAACTTGCCGCCCTCGTAGTTGAGATACTCGGTTGCCATGATGTGGCGAACGGGGGTCCAGGGATCCTTCGTGCCGCGTAGAGAAGCTGGGAACAGGATGGAATGGAATGGAACGTTGTCCTTGCCCATGAATTGATAGTACTCAATGTCAATCTCGGCGTCCGAGTTCATCCACCATGCCTTCCAATAGTCCTTCGTGTAACACTTGGTCATGCTGATGTAGCCGATTGGCGCATCAAACCATACGTAAAACACCTGTATATCAAATCAAGTAATTATCATTTGAGCAACTTTTGTCCATTAAGGAGATATCCATACCTTATCTTTATACTTATCAATCGGAACAGGCGTTCCCCATTTCTTCTCCAAGTCTCGCGTGATGCATCGTTCCTTGAGACCTTCACGTATCCAGCTCTTGGCTATATGCCTTGCATTCGAAGTCCATTCCTCACTTGAACGGTTCAACCATTCCTCAAGACCGACTTTCTCTTCTAGTTTCGGCAAATCTAAGAATATCTAAAATACATAAATTGATTCGTCACAAGTGTCGAAAACAGGTCAGTAAATTTTAACAGATTTTTGACTTGTAAAACCAATATGATATTCATTTTTACGTATGACATACTGGTTTCACCCCTTGGTTACATTTGTTTGTAAAAGTTTATTGGTTTAATGGATGAGATTTTTAATTACTTAATCACTATTTTAATCAGTAGACACTCCAGGGCTGCAGTAGGAGTGCTAGACATTACACCGGTTGTACCAAGCATGGCACACCTCTGTACTCTTTGCAACTAGGCCATGTGGGACTTCACCTTTGTGGCCGGAGCCCACAAGAGTGACCCATATTCCATGGCCGGGCGAATTATGGATTTGTAGATCCAATTTGTAATTTTGGGGGAAAGACCCCAAGTTTTACCAATGGCCCTCCTGCACTGGGCCAGGGCACGCATACCTTTTAGTGCCCTAGCCCTGCACAGTGAGCCCCAGTTCAACTTGTGATCCAATAAGACCCCAAGATATCTTACCTGTTTTTGATAAGGGATGGGAATACCATCCAACTTAATCACAGGAGCAATGAATTTGTATTTCTTAGTGAATAGTACCAGGGCAAGCTTATCATTGACTGACAAACTCACCTCTTTGCACCAATCACTAACAAGATTTACTGCTCTCTGCTCATGACTCCCCACTGTACCGAGGTCAATGCCCCGTCCCACTGTTGTGAGATCGTCGGCAAAGCCCTGTGAGTACAGTTGAGGGAACCGATGATGCAGTTTCTCCAGAATTTCACTTGCGACCAGATCCCAGAGAAGCGGTGAGAGGACACCCCCTTGAGGGCACCCTCTCTCCACCACCCTCCCAATCTCGTAAGTAGAATCAGTTACCCAAGTGGTTCGTGTCCGAAGCATGTGCTCAATATATCGAACACATACTTCGTTGACGCCAAACCTCCTAAGGCTACGGATAATGGTATCAGATCTAACCTCATTAAAAGCGCCCCTAACATCCAACATCACTGCAATACAGTACTCGCCAGAGTCAAGGGCCCCCTCAACAAGACTAACGATCTGATGAAGGGCAGCCTCCGTGGAAACGCCCTTCATATAGGCATACTGACTGTGTCTCTGCAGCCTATCAACAAGATCAGGCGTGCGGACCCAGCCATCTACCAGTTTCTCAAGTGTTTTGAGCAGGAAGGATGTTAAGCAGATTGGCCTCCAAGCGGACGCCCGTTCGTAACTCTCCATTCCTGGCTTTGGTAAGAACTCCACTCTGGACTCTCTCCACTTCAGAGGTGTATAACCAAAGGTCAGGCACCCCCTCATGAGAGGAACCAAATACGGAATTAACTCGGCTAACCCATGCTGTGAAAGGGCTGGAAAGATACCATCCTTTCCAGCCGCTTTTAGTGGGCCAAACGAGTTAATTATGTTACTGATTTTTGAAGATGTAATCATCAGATTTATGGATTCATCATCTACTTTACTATGATCAGGTTCCCATGGAACCCGTTGAGGGTCCCTCGGGAACGACTGGTCCAATAATAATTCATAGGTATCAGAAAGGGTCCTGGTGTAAACACCATCACCCTTGTCCAGTGATCCCAGTTTGATTGTGCCATCGTTGCGAAGGATGCGCGAGAGTCGGGCAGCAACAGGTGCCTCCTCGACACTCTCACAAAACCTTCTCCACGAGGCAGTTTTCCTCCTCCTCATTTCGTAGGAGTAGTAGTTACGAGCAGCTTTGTATTCCGCCCATGCCTCCTCTCCTCCGAAGCGGGCAACCCGATAAAGCCTGCGAGCCTCCTTCCGAAGAGAAGTCAGCTCACGGCTCCACCAAGGTACCCTCTTCCTCCTGGATTTGAGTACTTTTTCAGGGCAGGCCACATCGTATGATTTATGGATAAAGTTACTGACCCTACTA